GCACAGACCCCCTGCACACAGACGCCCGGCATGCAGACCCCCAGCACACAGACCACTGGCACACAGACCCCCGGCATGCAGACCCCCACATGCCTCCATCAGGGTCTCGGTGCCTCCATCCATCTCTGCTGTTGGGTGTCCTGCTGTGGGGCCAGGCTGAGATGGGTCTGGGGGTGCATGGGTGACCCACATCTGGAGTGGGGCAGTTGGGAAATGAGCCCTGGCACCCCCAGTCAGCACTCTGCCCCCCCAGCAGCCTGCCAGGAGGAGGCAGAGCTGGGAGGGACAGGGGCTTTGTGCTTCCAGCCAGGGTTCCCAGGCAGAGGCTGCTCCCCTGCTTCCAGCACTTGCTCTGACCTGATCTCCATTAACAATATTTAGACACATTTTCCTTCTATCTTGGCAGGTCCCCAGGAACCACCTAACAGGCAGCCTCTAAGTGCAGTGATTTGTGTTTTCCCGGGATGCGGCGATGTGCTCGCAGGGAGGATGAGCATCTCTGCTGCAGGCTCGGCTCTGGCTCTCCAGCCCTGGGCTCCCCAGCTCCAGGGACCCACCCGCTCCCTCCTGTACCCCAACACCATCTGCAGTTCCAGAGCCCATACAACCCTTGTTACACACCTGGGAGGGAGCGATGGGGTGCTCCAGCTCGCAGAGCTGAGGAGGATTTTGCTTTTCCACACTGGGGAGGGACATTGCACTCATGGGACACAGCTCCCAGGGAGGCAGAAACTACCCCCTCCCCCGCCCCAGTTTCTGTCCCCTGGGGTCCCATTCCTGAGCATCACCGAGCCCCAGTGTTTTGGCAGGGCCAGGCTAACCACAGCCATAACCACAGCCACCGCCGTGCTGGGGAGCTGGTCCTCACGGCACAGCCACTGGCTTTTTGATTGACACAAGTTAATTTCTTGGGTGTTTCTGTGCACTGATCTTGCTCTTCATCTTTTGGGGCAGAGAAAGCAGAGCTCTGATTGTGGGGGGGTCCCAGTCTCCTAACAGCCAGAGGATGCCCTACTGGAGACCACATAATGACTAAACGAGGCAACATTTGAGCAAAACAGCAGACTTGGGGAAAAAAGCTTCCACAGTCAAGATGAGACATAAAAGAGGTGGATTGATGGTAGGGTGCGAGAAGACTTTGCTTTGACTGCTGGCACAAGCTGCTCAGCTAATGCCAGCGATAGCAAGGGGAAATAACATCCTCCTCCTCTGCCATCGCCTGTGGCTGCAAATGCCCTGTAGCAGCTCGGAGGGAGCTCCTCGGGAAGGACAAACAGCTCAGAGCCACCAAGTTTCAAGGATGTATCACTTCGCTGTGAAAGTCTTGCTCCTGGCTGGAGCTTAACAGCGCGTCCGCACATCCCAGCTGGGGAGCAGCAAAGGCCAATAACCTCATACATTTTTAAAGAGTATCGGTTATGGCTCTGGGATGTGTTGGAGGGTGATGGCAAGGGGAAGTCAGACAGCTCGATAGATAGCTCCTCCTGCTGTCATTTACAGGCAGGGGTGGGGCTCAAGGCACAGAGGAGGCTCCAGGTATCTCCCAGCTGATCCTCAGGCGCTGGCTGCCACCTTTTACAGCCATTTATCCCCAAAACGATCTGGGGACAGGCAGCCGCAGCTGGGGTGTGGGTGGGGATGCAGTTTTAGCCGCGGCTCAGATGGGATGCAGGCTTAGCAAGCAGCCAGCCTTGGCCTTGAGGGAGGAGATCCTGAGGAATAAAAGGCTCCAGGGACACAGCCCCCCCACCAGCAGTCTCTGGGGACTCCTGCCTTGGCAGGAGGGTTGTCTGCCTTTGGGACAGCCATGGGCTCCTTTCCCTGCTGAATGCACAGCTTTCCTCCAGTACAGCAGAAGACAAATAAAATGGAAGAGCCTGGTTTGAGCCTGGCTGGAGATACTGGGATGGGGACCAAGCACGGCGATGGCTGGCAGCAGGGTGATGCATCTGCTGTCTGGGGACGTGCAGCTCCGGCTCTTCCAACCTGTTTGTGTATTTAGGACCCTAAGGGGACAGACAGCAACTCCTGCAGATCCCTGTGGATGCCAAAATTACTCAGTACCTAACACCTACCAACTGCCAGCGGAGCCAGGCACCAAACCCGCACCCGAGAGGCGGCAATAAGGGTAATGGATGTTGTGCACGGCGGGGAGGAAAATCAGGGACATGTGAGAAGCCTCTCCTCAAATTAAATAGAGCCTGGGCCAGGCCCCAAGCAATCTGAAGATGGTTCAGAGTTTATGATGCACAAATGGCAGAAATCCCTCTGCTAGCACTTTGGTGGCAGGGGAACAATTACTCAGTGTGCCAGAGCCATCGCTCCCGCTTCCTGGCTGTTAACAGCCTTGACACCTCTGCTGCTGCTTTATGCTTTTGCAATAGGAAGTAAATTGTGATTAACAAGACGTTGTAATTTATGTGCCCAGTAAATCACAATGCCAAGCTGCTGCGTCAGATTTGTGTCTTTGCTCATCCCCATCTACAGCTGGCTCCGGAGTCCCCGGGAAGCGGCACTTTCCAGCACGTCACTGGGTGAATCAGCGGCTCAGCAGCGGCTGGAGACGGGATGCTGCCGGCTCCCTGGATCTTGGCTGCTGCTTAATAACGTGCAGATGAGCCTGTCAGTCCCTGCTCTGCTGCAACGTGTTGTTCACACTTCAATGGAGCACAGAAAGGGTTCAGGAAGCCCTTCCAGTGTGTATAATTCTATTAAAATTTTTCAAGCAGTGTTACATGGGGCTGTCACTTGCTAATTGCTCTTTCAAGGTGAGTGTTCAGAAGTAAGTATGATGCAGGTAGGACTTTAGGCATCATAATTTTAAACAATCCTCCCTGGACCCTGCTTTCAGCAGTCTTTGAGGATGCCAGAAATTTTATTTTTTTTTTCCACTTATTCTGATGCTCTGTGGGCTTTGCAGGGTTAGCACTGGTCCAGCTTCACAGCAGACGTTCACAGAAGACCTTTTCCTGCTGCCTGTCCTCATCCCCAGGGTTTGCTTTTCTCAATGGTTCACCCATGGGAATCAGTCCAACCTTGGCAGCTGAGTCCTGCCGATGCCAGGACATCCCATGCCAGCCCTGCCACGGCTGCAGCAGTGAGGAACGGGGTGTCCCCGGCTGCAAGCCGTGCCCCCTTCATCCCTGATGGCCGTTCAGAGGGAGCAGCACCAGGAGCTGGCCCCTGCCAGGCACAGTGCGGGAGGAGAGCGTCCCTTGGGCTGAATTTCAAGCTCTGTGATGAAGATTGCTTTCCTTGGCTGTTTGTTTGTCACACTGTTCGAAGGGGGGGAAAAAGCAGAGGGATGTTTGCATGAGCAGTGCTTGGAAAAACAGTTTTCTGGTTTGAAGGTGGGGATCAGAGGCAGTCCCCCGAGGAGAGGAGATGTACCCTGGTGACCCCTCCCTGTGCCCAGCACAAGCCCCACATGTGGTGGGACATCAGGAGGATGCTCTGCATCTTGGCAGGCTCGAGGATCGGCTTTCGGATTTCTCTTGATGCAGTCGCCAAGAATCAGAGACAATTAGAGGCTGAGTTTCATTTGCCCCTGCATCAGGCTGGATTTTCTGTGCAAGCACAGGAGGTCAGGGGACAGTTTCAGCCTCCCCAGATTTGGGCATGTGGCCCTCAGCATGAGGGGGACGGAGGAGGGGGGATGGAGTGGGGGG